AACGTATTCACGTGACTTTAATAACATTTCTTACTTAATGGAAACACTGCAGTTGTGAAACTGTGTTTTTCAACATTAACAGAATATCGACAAAGTTTTGCGCACATTTGTAATGGAAACACAGCAAATGATACACCATGCAAAAAAGAGAAAAAAAATCTGAGCAAAATAATATAAGCCAAGACCTCAGTATGAACATTAATTACATTAATTTCCCTCACGACCCACCCCCCAGGACTTCTGGCACCTGGGGAGGTGTGTCCCACAGTTTGAAAACCCCTGTTATGCATCAGTAGGATTAATTGGAAATGGAAATTTTTATTCTTTTAAAGGAAGTTGTCTGAACAGTTTATGAACAGTGATTTGTTTCACACAGTTTAATTCTGACCCCATTAATGAGCTAATGGCTATTCAGAGCATGTTCTGGACCAAAGTGGATTAATTTCCCCTTAAAATCTAATTATATCTCAAGAATTTCATATATGGTCACGTGAACTTTAAGGTGGGTGATAATGTTAGGTGTTTGTCTATTAGCACAATATCTCATGATCTACTGGATTGAATTTGATTAAAACTCTCAGTAATCAATGGATGTACATCTTCAACCGATTACTTTTTGAGGTCAACTCAATTCATCATAGCTATTGCATTGCAAGATTCTGCAACATTGTATCAGTTGTTATTTTCAGCATTTAACTAAAATGGCCAAAACTCCCAATATTTCTCAACATGTAATTTTAATGTAAAAACTCTGGCATAAAAGATGTCTGCCTTTAATTTACCAATAATTACACTGTCATCAGTTAGTTATTATAGTTATTTGCAAGCCCAAATTCAATTCGGTTCAGTTTATTTATATAGCACTAAGTCACAACAACTGTTATCTCAGGACATTGTACGTAAAACTAAACTAAATCTAAAGAAGCCAGCAGGCTGCGCCAAATCTTTCAGCAGTTTTAGAGATTTAGTTTGGTTTAAAAGACCAGTAATAAAATCTTGTGTTTTATTAAAATGTATAAAGAAGTGTTCTTTATACAATTCTTTCCTCTCTTTCTAGCAGAAGCCACAGTGGAGCTTTCTCTCGACAGTCCGCAGAACAAGAGAAAGAAAGAGGCAACGAGCAAACCTTCTGCTTCCTCATCTTCGTCATCTTCCTCCTCGCTGTCAGCAGCTGCCAGCCTGGCCAAGCCTCAGTTCTCTGCCTTGGAAGAGGTGTTTACACGTCTGAGATTCAACTCTGTTCATGAGTTTATTCCCACAAAATATTTTCAAATATTAGAACCAATTCAGGGTTCTGTAGCGTCACTGATGCAGGCAGTTTAACTTTATCCTGTGAAAAATATTTTTCAGAGATTTTTAAAGGAATCCCGATTAGTTGTAACATTAGACTTTATTTGATAAACATATATTTTAACTGTAAAATAGACTGTAAAAATACTGTAGGATGTTTAGTTTTTATAATTTTTAAAAATATATTTTAACACAGACGGAGCCATTTTATTTACACTCAAAGCATTCTGGGTAAATGACGTGGAAAGGTCCTCGGTGTGAGTGAGCGAGCTAAATCCACCCTCAGCCTGTTAGCCTTTGTGCTAGCGCCGACGCTATATTGCCTTATATGTATTAGCTCAGATACAGCGCGACAAACTAATGAGCTAAACTGAGGTCCTCCATCCATATTTTCAGTTACAGCTGAGTCATTTTTGTGTTCCCCTCTCTGTCATGTGGATGGAGGACCTCAGTGATGAGAGGAGAATGTCTAGCCCTGAGCTAATACATATATATGGTGATAGCGTCAGGGCTAACACTAAAGCTAACAGGCTAAGCTGAGGTTCTTCTTCCATGAAGCAGCTCTGTTGTCCTCCATCCATATTTTCAGTTCCAGGCTGAGTCATTTCTACCT